CAATAAACTGTGTCAGTATAACACTTTGCGATGACTTTTCGTACGTTTTAAATTTTACACTTTTGTATGTAAACAAAAATTATATCAGCTGTTCGTCTAACTTGCAAGTTTCTGCAAATTTTCTGTTGGCGTACTATTTTGGATATTTCTCTCTTGTGAGAGAACAGATGACATTTCGCCGGAATTTGGCAGTTGGTTGGTTTCTGCTGGAGATTTTAAACGAACGCACCTAATGCATAGCCCTAATACATACTGTAGGTAAGGGATGCCTAGCCAAGGCGCCCACAGTCAATGCCGCGAGCAATTTGGTGGGGAGAAGTGAGCGTTACGGAGATATCAGAGGAGATATCGGAGGTATAGAGTGTTGGATAAAACTTTTTGATTGGAATTTCCTAGAAAACCGTTACTCTTACGGGGAAAAAGTGACTTAAAATACAAACATGTGTACCATAAAATTTTTGTAAAAGTAACGGTTAACCGGAAAATCATTTTATTGCGACCTTTGATCCCGCTTAAAGCCTCTAGCTACACTTGTGTCAATTTGGACCTTTGATATGCTGTTTAAAAGCACAAAAGAACATTTCCGTGTTAAAATTTAGCCTCTCCCTAACTACATATTTAAAATTTATTATTCTATACTGTATTTATATTCGTATAAAATCTCCAGTAAAAAAGATCCAACATCAAAATTCCAGCGAAATGTCATCTGTCCTCTCATAAGAGAAAAATATCCAGAATAGTGGGCGAACAGAAAATTTGCAGAAACATGTAAGTTAGTTGAACAGCTGATAGAATTTTTGTTTACATTCAAAAGTGTAAAATTCAAAACGAACGAAAACTCATGACAAAGTGGTATCCTGACACAGTTCCCCTACTTTGCAAGTTTTTTGCGTACGCGAACGCAAAAAGCTGATAGTTTTTGATGACTTTCAATAATTATCAGGTACGCGAATGCAACTAATGTTTAAGGAGGCGTAGGCTGAACCTAAAGAAAGGGGATATGCTTCATATCAATATCGAATCTGTCTATCAGCTTAAAATAAAGTCTCCGCGGACACCGGACAGACACACCTCGACCTTGATGCAGGTTTACCGTATACAAATGTATACATAAATCATCAGAATGAAAAGAGAAATCGATTAAGCCGTGACTGTCTGTTCGTCCGACGTTGAAAATTATTGAAATCAGATTAAAATTACGGTCACTTTTTATATAACGGTAAATTACAAAATGTTTGAAACTTCGATATTTCGAATTTGAAGGAAGCTAATTTACTCAAAATTCATACTAACAACAATCCCTTGAAAAGAAGTAAAATTGTTTGGAATTTTGGAAAATGGGCGTGGTACCGCCCACACATAACTATATAAGTTCACCTCATTATTTCTAACTGAACGTTCTATCGAAGATGTTTAAAATGCGGTTAAAACCACCTCTGCTTACTATGAAGCGGTAGTTTTCGGAAAGGTGAAAAAACATATATTTAATAGTTGCGCCGGGTATTTAATGTACGGCTCCGCCCGAACTTAGACTTTCTTACTTGTTTTGATATGAGGTGGCAAAAAAAGTATTTTTTTTTTGTATAAATGTAGTATTTGGAAAAAAACAACAGTACCCATTTTTGGAATCCAAAGAAAATTATAGCTACGAGCGTTTTCTATACCAATAAGCCCGATACGACTGCAGAGCTGAACTACGAAGTCATAAGCGTTATAAATGATATCCAGCCCGAACTATGCGAAAGTGATGGAAAAATCTGATATGCGCATCATTTTTGTCTCTACACTAGTACTGGAGAATGTCATCCAAGACGACATGGCGCAACTTTAGGATGTCAACAAAATGAAATGATGAAAATTATCTCCTATTCCCTTTCGTTGTACTTATATGAAATTGTCACCACCTTGTATCCTGTGTCATTTATAAAAGAAAATCTGCGGTCTCATTCAATCGCGCTGTACAAATGTATATAGCAATCGATTTTCTTGCAGAGTAATAAAGCATTTTCTGGAATTTGTGAGTTAAGTTAACTTTCTTAAATATTCTCGAGAACTAACTACTGAATCTAGTAAGTACTTTTTTTTTTTTGAAGAAGTTTAAGGTTTCCAAAAAATAATGCATACATGTTTTTTAGCTAAGTATTTTTTATTGAGATTCGTAAATTCTTACTACAAATATGTAATTATTAAGCAGGCTCAAAAAATTTTACGTAATGCGTGCTTTTGATACAAGTTTTCGAAATAAAATTGAAGAGATTTTGTTTAACAAAATCGTAAAGAAGTTTACAAATCATAGATATTGTATAGAAATACATTTACATACATAAATAATAATAAAAAAAATAATTAGCATACGAATAAGTTGGAACTTTTTATCTCAATACAGCTTAATTCTAGCTACTAACGCTTACTACATAAAGTAAATTCGGCTTATCAAACTACTTTTACTATATAATACGATACGATTACCTAAATGCTAGACGAGTAACTAATCGATAACTACAATTATTTACCTTAAATATAGGGCTACAATTTGTAGAATTTGTATACTGTAAATGCGCGCTTGCGCAATGAAAAGGAGGTGCAGAAAACATGGAAATCAACACTGCCACAAGGATGAGCGCAGAAGGTGTGTGTTTAAAAGACAGAAAGGTAACGGAGATGATGATGAAGACAAGCACCTGCTCCGAAGAAGTGTGAAAGGTGCAGGTGCCTGATTTCTATGGAGATACATATGTACATATGTATGTATATACAGGCATGCAAGCAAGAGCCGAAAGCGGCTTAAAACATACATACGAAGATGGGGAGTAGAGAAGCAGTAGATAGAATGTCTGTATGTAAGTAGTGTTGATAAATTGTGGGAGCAAAGATTATCAGCATTCTCTGTTTGCTAGCTATTTTTTGTGTTGTTTTTATTTTCGTTTTTTTTTCTGTATAATTTGCGGCGCAAATTAATTTGCTGCCAGCAGCTAAATGCTTCGGCTGCGTCTACTTTACTGTAGATTGTTTTGTTGTTTTTTTTCTTGTACGCTTTGCTTTGTTTCGTTTTCTACTATTGCTGCTTTGTTGAAATCATCTTTAAAACCTGAGTGTTTGTGCTGTTACCCTATTAATGCTTTAGGTCTGCCGCTGCGCGCCGCCATGCTTACGGCCTCACTACGCTGCGCGCCCTCCTGCCGACTGGCCAAGAAATCTGTGCCTTCCTTTGCTCTCCTCCTCGCCACCAACTCAACTGCGTTCACGTGCGCGCTCATGTTGCCGCTTTTTCGATTTCCTTTTACTACTACCACCATCGCGGCCGCCGCCGCCGCTATCTCGGCACCCGCTGTTATTGTTGCCATCACCGCTGTGATGCGCGCCGTACTATTGCCCCTTATCCTTGCCGGCACCGCCCGCAGTCACACCAGTCAAGCCGAGCAGGTGATCGCCGGCCAACAGCCCGGCGGCAGCCGCTGCGCTCGGCTGGTGCGCATAGTTGCGTATCTGGTGCAGCGAGATGAGTTGCGTTGGAAAACCGGCTGCTGCCGCCGCATTTTGCTGGTACAGGTACGCTGCGGCGGCGGGTGGACGCTGTTGCGCAGCTAGCGCGTTCAAATGTGGCGGCGCCGTGTTGATGGGCGTAAAGGCGCTGGTTGTTTTCACATCGTAGTTGGCTGCGGCCGCCGCCGCCGCTGCTGCTGCCGCTGCGTTGCCCATCAGCAGCGGATTGGGCGAATGCGATTGTTGGTGTTGATGCTGCTGTTGTTGTTGTTGTTGTTGCTGTTGTTGCTGCAGGTGATGTTGCGGCGTTTGGCGCATCACCAGATCTTCTCCCTCGTCGTTGGGCGATTGTGAGTGATTGGGCGTGCTGCCGCTGCCGGCGCTATCGCCGCCACTACCCGCGCCGCCGTTCACCAGTCGCTGGTGGTGTTGCAACAGTTCCTGCTGTTGTTGTTGTTGGTGCTGCTGTAGCGCTGCGAAGTTGTAGCCATTCTGCACCGCGTGCTGTTGCTGCTGTTGTGCGGCCGCTGCGGCTGCTGCAGCGGCGGCGGCTGCTTGCTGTTGTTGTTGCTGTATAGCTTCGGCCAGCGTGGCGGCATTCACTGCGCTATCGGCGCCCACTTTAGCCCAATACGAATTGGGGTCGCTTGTTGCAGCGGCCGCGGCGGCATTCATCACAACCTGTCGCTGCAAATTGAGGCCAATGCCGCCGGCGGGCACATGGTGTTGCGCGTTGCTATTCGCATTTGCATGCCGCTGCTGCTGCTTCTCCGCCTTCTCGGCGTG